TAATAGGTATACTGTCCGAGATATGAACAAAAGCAAGTGATGACCAATAATTATTTGCTAGAAATAAAAACAGCAGTGGGAAAGGAGGAAAGTTTATGTTAAAAAATTGGAAAAACAAAACCTGAGGGATAAGTTTGTTTATGCCTAAAGAAAACATAGCAAAAGTGGAGACCTGGGGTCCGTTCTTCGTACGTGGATTACTCAGTTAGCTGGATTTGGATATTGATGATTTGACATGATCCAGGATCGTTTCGTTCTTCAAAGCTGATCCGAGAGTTGTTGTCATGGCAACAGTTCTGCTAGGTCAAACCTGATCGGGAGCAGGTTCAATTCATATAAACAGGATTAGATCGGCTCAGTTCAAGCAAAGATAATACAGAAAGTATGTTCCCAATTCTGATATTTTCTTACAGTAGTAGTTATTTACACTTGGGAAAATGGTACATATTTTTTTAACTATATATATATAAAGTTATAGTCATTAATAAAATAAATAAAGTTAAACATATTAATAAAACTTATGCAATCTGTACCATTGAAATGAAAGTACAAAGACTGCCACCTGGTGGTGCAAAGAGAAAACTTATTGATATGAACTTTTTAGATCGCTTTAGTACAAATTGTGTATAATAGAAATGCACAATATGTGACTTTTTAAAGCAATAATACATTTCAGCAGTCATGAACATGTTTTGATAGTTAATAGTGATTTGAAGCTTCACAAAAGTTGCAGACGCCTTTACCAATATCAAAATGCTTTTGTAAACAACCAGTTATTCTTTACGCGGATTAAAAAACGGCTACTATAATATAGACAATATTTTCTAAATTTTGAACTAAATACACTGATATGCACGGAAATACATGATGAATACTCTTGTCTTGACACATGACAGTGTAAAGCCTGCAGCTCACAACACATGTGGAAGGTTATTGCGTGTCATATTTAACAAACCGTTTCTGCTAATTTGATGTAATTTTGCTCACATGGATAATTGAATATTAATCAGATGATGTCATTACGCTGCTGTGCCGTCAGCCAATCGCTGCATAGCTGATCATGATTTCGAGGATGGATAGATCTGTCCTTCACAACACACGCATCGATCTCAGATCAGTTCATCCAGACATTCTAATCTGATTCGCGAACTTGTTTGAAGAACCAAATTAGCGAGAGATCAATTATCAAGATTAAAAGATCCAGGATCTGTCAAATCATCTTAGATCATTTAAGCGAGGTACGAAGAACGAACCCCTGGTACACAATTACTGAATATGTTTTTCCACCAGTCACAGCTTTTACACTAACGTATGTTATTGGATCGTATTTGTAATACATCTGTATTTTTTTAGCAAGTGTACTTTTTATTTTTTTGCTTTTATCCCTGCCATAAAAATATATATATATTTGTAGAGCAACTCATGTTTTCTTGTGATTAATATTGTAATAAACTTTAAAAGGTAAAACTGTCAGAGATATGGACAAAAGCAAGTGATGCATCAAAGTTTGATTAAAAAAAAATCTTAAAGGTTATAAAAATGCTTATAATCATTAAAATAATTTATAAAAACAATACAAATAAATAGTTTAAAAATATTGAACGACATTATGATATGACGTACTTCTGGAAAGTTCGTACTTCTCTGTTTATCCGTCTGATTTTAAGGTGGGTTTCTTTTGACCGCCCCCTGTCATTTTAAAGAATATCACAACGGCGAGTATAAAAGACTCGGCCGTTTCGCGAGGGGCGCATGCATTCAGCGGAGGTGCGCGATGCGGTGCCAGCCGCGAGTATAATTCTAGCTTTATAGGTTAGTTTCCTATATACTCCTGTAGAAAGCAGCTCTGTGAAACGCCAGATGAAGCGGAGGTCCTCCTGTGCGTGCTGTTTTTGCTATGTTTTTGCATCTGCATGTGCGTGTGTGTTGTAATGTTTGTGTCTGCATCACTGCCATGTGTGTGTAATGTTTGTGCTGTCTATGTGTGTGTAATGCTTGTGTTGTATGTGTGTGTGTGTGTGTTTAGCTTCATCTGGCTGCACTGGCATCTCTGAAGGGCGACGTGCTGGAACTGAACCAGCGGCTGCTGCAGACGGAGAGAGAGAGAGACGCTCTGGAGAAGAGACTGACCACCGCACAGGTCACTACACACACATGCACATGCTAGAGAAGACGCTGACTAAAACAAACGTCACTACATGTGTACACTCACCGGCCACTTTATTAGGTACACCTTACTAGTACCGTGTTGGACCCCTTTTGACTTCAGATCTGCCTCAATCCTTCATGGCAGAGATTCAACAAGCTACTGGAAATATTCCTCAGAGATTTTGCTCCATATTGTCATGATAGCATCACACAGTTGCTGCAGATTTGTCGGCTGCACATCCATGATGCCAATCTCCCGTTCCACCACATCCCAAAGCTGCTCTATTGGATTGAGCTCTCTCTTATTATTCTGCTTCCAAGCAGAGCAGAAACACATGTGATAATCCAAACTTACCTAAAAGAGAAAAAGTTGAGTCGCATTAACATCTGACTTGTTTTTAAATGGTTTTCAGCCTTTTTATACAGTGTGAACTTCTGCTTTCAACTGTATATATATCTCATATCGCAATATTTATTGCAGAAAAAGAAAAAATCCCACAGCTTTGGTCAATAAGAAGCTCTTCTGTTTCTGATTGGCTGTGCAGGCTTTTATGAAGACACATGACTGTGGTTCTGCATCTGACAGCTCATTTGTCTGATGTACATGCATGAAAGCCACATCTGCACACTGCTGGAGTGGTGTTTTACACAGCGGGTCTCATCTCAGGTGGTGTTCTGCAGTCAAACACACACATCTGTCGGCCGCACATGCAGAACAGATCATGCACAAACGAGTCCAATCAAATTCTGCTTTTATTTGTCACAGACACATCGCATAATATGCAGTGAAATGATTACATAACCACCCTCGACCTCACAAATAATAACCACACAATAATAATAAGAGTAATCAAAATTAGGCAAGGAAAGTTTATCTCTATAGCACATTTCATACACAGTGGCTATTCAAAGTGCTTTACATAAACAGGAATAAAAAAGACAAGTGTAAGAAAATAAAAACAAACAATAAAAATGATTGAAAACAGATGAAAATGTGTTAAAACGGGTTATAAAAGAATGAAAAAGAAGAGAAAGACATAATAGTGCGATCTGTGGGACGCAGCACAGTGCTCATTCAGTAAAGGCACAGCTAAACAGATGTGTTTTCAGTCTTGATTTGAATGTGCCTAATGTTGGAGCACATCTGATCATTTCTGGAAGCTGATTCCAGCAGCGGGGGGCGCTGTTAGTAGCTGAAAGCAGATTCACCCTGCTCTGACTGAACTCTGGGAACTTCTAGTTTATATGATCCTAAAGATCTGAGTGATCTGTTGGGTTTGTATTCAGTGAGCATTTCTTTAATGTATTGAGGTCCTAGGCCATTTAGTGATTTATAGACCAGTAATAATACTTTAAAATCTATTCTGAATGTAACTGGCAGCCAGTGTAGAGACCTGAGGACCGGTGTGATGTGCTTCTGGTCAGAATTCTGGCTGCAGCGTTCTGGATGAGCTGCAACTGTCTGACTGTCTTTTTGGGAAGACCAGTGAGGAGTCCATTACAGTAATCCACCCTGCTGCTGATAAAAGCATGAACAAGTTTCTCTAAATCTTCACTGGAAACAAAGCATCTGATTACTGCAATGTTTTTGAGATGATAGTATGCTGATTTACTGACTGCTCTGACATGATTAGGGCTGCACGTTATTTAAAAAATTGGACATTGTGATATTTAATTTTTTTGTAATATATAGATAGCGATATGCTGTATCCAGGGATGTTGCTAGACATAAAGATAGCAAATTTTTGGGCACAGCTCCAAAACCCAAAAAAAATAAAAATAAATAAAATTTTATATATATATATATATATATATATATATATATATATATATATATATATATATATATATATATATATATATATATATATATATATATATACACACACACACACACATATATATATATATATATATATATATATATATATATATATATATATATATATATATATATATATACACACATATATAATATGAGCAATACCACATGAGCAGCAGTGCGGTATGGCTGTATATCAGCACTGGTGGGAGGCTTATTAATTAGTATTAATAAATATAATTCTATTGGAATTCAATTCTATAGACACTTCAATAGAATACAAATGTTTATAGAATTATCAGCGTGATGTCTTAGAATTAGATTAGCCGAGAATTAGGTTTATTTAGTCTAACCTCTCTAACTCATCATCCCTCCTTTTTGCTTCATACAAAAAAATCTGTGAGGAGGTATGCTTGGTCTAAATAAGATCAGCGTTAAATTATTTAAACTTTGTTTTGCCGACTTGCAAAACTCACTGCGTGCCGACACCTCCGCATAAAAGACTTGTACGGCTATCTTTTCAGTGTGCATTTTCAAAACCGGTGCATTTGCAAATTCACACGGGGCGTCAGCGTCAACGCTTCCCATTCACTTTGAATGGGTGACGTCAGGCATTGCCGAACTGCATTGTGGATCTGTCGGCGCCGCTTCAGAGGCGTTGCTCGCTGCAGAAGTTGGGACTTGCTCAACTTTTCAAGCGCCAACCAAAGCGTCATCCAATCAGATACACCAGCTCAGACAGTAGCCTATTGCTGACTAATTTCATTGGCTGACACTTCTATGATGATAGCTTCAGCGCCAACTTCAGACACGCCTTCAGTCAAGCGTTGACGCTGAAGCCCCGTGTGAATGGGGCGTTACACTGGGAGCAGAGCAGCATGTCAGCGTCAAGCAGGAGCAGTGCGTGAGGCGCACGGGTATGTTTGTTTTCTGCGCACATGCTCAGTTTGCTTTTTGATTAAACTACACTGTTTTCATCAGTGTTGGTTTGGTTGCACAGAGAATAATGTCTTTATTCTGGGATTACCACTCTTAATAAATACACTTGCATACAAAGTAAATCGTATCTCGAAGCATTTACTGGGGCACTGGCGATTATTACTGGGGCACATGCCCCAGTAAATGGGGTCTAGCGGCGCCCCTGGCTGTATCTATACGATTTCACCAAATAATTGAATAGCAATTTATTTCAAGGTTTAATTCTCGCTATTAGCAAACCAATAACTATAAGTTTTGCTTCAATAATCTCCTAATTTGCATCAATTTAATAGATATTAATGGAATGGGATAAATAATGTGTAGTCTAAGATTCAGGATTCATTGTTTATTATAAAATGCAATGGTTGTAAAGTCAAAAAAGTGGAAAGATTCAAGTCCAGTTTGTGTTAAAGATGAGGCTAATGCTGCCGCTGCTTGGCAGATTTCAGGGAAATAGAGGAAATGATGGCAGCTTCTGCGGCAGCCTGAGGCTCAGAAAAGACCAAATTGGCAGGAAAGCCGAAATAATCTCTGCCTGTCAATCATTAGACTGAATTCATCAAACATTCGTAGAGGAATTTGTGCACAAAACAGACCTTCCTGAAACCTAAGATTCGCAGAGGCTTTGTAAACATCACGTATAAATGGTAAATCTGTGACCCTGGAGCACAACACCAGCCATATGTTGCACTGGTATATGTTTAACAACAGCCAAAAATACAAAGGGTAACTTCAAAATATTTGTCTTTTCTTTTTAACCCAGGCTCATTGTGGAAACAAAGCCCCGCGGACGTTTCTGGAGGTTGCAAAATATGTCCCGGGAGGTCCATATTTGTGCAGTTTTTGCGAGAGGCCGCTGTTTGTGCTTTTTCTCGTCTCGAATGCCTCTTGGGAGCGCGCGCCGTTCACGCCCGCGCTGTTCTCGCGCGAAAAGCTGCCAGAGTGCTGTAGCTGTCCCAAGCGACGATTTACAAAAGCCGTCCAGAAATATATATATATATAAAAAGCAAAAGCCCTCACCTGATTTTGACCTCGTTTTTGGGTTTTGCTGCATTCTCGCCCCGTTGCGAACTCGTTTGCTTTTATTTTTTGGATTCTGTTTTTAATCTTACCTGATTTCTGGAACCGCTCTTCCCCGGACTTGATCCCAGTCGTCGTCGCTGCGGCCGGCTCCTCCTCCTTCTCCGGGCCTCCGCTCCGCCGGCGTAACACTGCGAGCTAAGCAGACAAACTGGTTGCGGTGGAAAGGCCTCCACACAGAGGTGAGCCGTCACAGCCGGCGAGCGAAGAAGAGGAGCGACGTCACACCACATCACAAACTTTGCTCGAAAAAAACGAAATGCGGCCATACGTGCCTGCAGCCACGCAAATCGCGGTCTCCAAAATTGTCTGCGGGGCTACATTTTTTGGATTGAGCCTGGATTGTTTCTTTAATGAAGTTCACGGCCCTTTGGCTGCCGGGAAGAAGGAGGCGGAGAACCGACGGAGCTTTAAAATATTTATTAATAACAATGACGGCAGCTCCTCACGGAGACTGCCGTCTAAACCAAAACAAACGGACGGCAGCTCCTCACAAGGACTGCCGTCAAACTGAAAGCAAAAGTAATATATGTCTGGGCCCGGTCCTCTCTCGGCTTCCTCTGCCGTCGTTCCACCTTTTATCGTCCAGAGCTCCTTCCGTGGGATCCGAGGCAGGTGCGCACCGCAGGTGTATCCACTTACGCGGTGGCCTCACTCCGTTCCCACGGCACTCGGCCACGCCCCCTCGCCACAGTTTCTTTTACACCCAAATCATTAAGTAGAGATCATGTTTTATCAAGATTTAGTTCTGTATTTTTCTAGTAATATATAAAGATAAATGCTAAACACTTAATTTAATTGTGATTTCTGATAGTAGTAGCAAGCACAACCTGTGTTATGTTCATATCTATTTGGTGGTAACATGGTGACTCAGTGGGTAGTGGTGTTGCCTCACAGCAAGAACTTCGCTGATTTGAGCCCTGGCTGGGTCAATTGGTGTTTCTGTGTGGAGTTTGCATGTTCTCCCCGTGTTGGCGTGGGTTTCCTCTACAGTCCAAACACATTGAGTAAGCTAAATTGGCTGTAGTGTATGCGTGTGAGAATGAGTGTGTGTGGGTGTTTCCCAGTGCTGGGTTGCAGCTGTAAGGGCATCCGCTGCATAAAACATATGCTGAAATAGTTGTTGGTTTATTCCCCTGATGAATAGGGAACTAAGCTGAAGGGAAATGAAATGAAGTAAATCAGCATCATATCCGTGGACTGCTGCGAATACCATCCTAAAGAGCCTCGGGCACATGCCTCAGTCTTGACCTCTGACCTTCACCTAGAGCTGACCTTTGACCTCTGCAGCCCTTAAGTTTGACTGAGTGCCCTTAAGAGGCCCTGTGTTCAATACACACCCAGCCTTTCTCCTAAACAAAGCCTGCATTGTTGCCAGTGTGAATGACTGTTGAAACGCCGCCATCAGCATCAGTCCAAAACTTAGAGCGGCGAGTAAACGGCATGTGGATTTTCCTTCGTGACACATCCGCTTAATGAAAAAAGGCAAAAGTGAAAACACATGCTCTCAAGCTGAAGGTGCATGTGCAGTTTCTGGTCTGATAATACTGCATAATACACTACCTGACTAAACAACACAGGTATTGTGACTAAACAACACATAATAACTCGACTTCTAGTTGATCATTTGGTGTCAGAAGGTGGATTTCTCCCATGAATCATCTGCTGATCTGCATCAATCATCACCAATACTGCAGAAGACCTACTGGAACCAGCATGGACACAAGATTCTCATAGAAATCAGTCAAGTTTGGTGAAGGAGACATCATGGTTTGGGATCTGCAGAGTGGATGATCAACATCAACAGCCTGAGGTATCAAGACATTTGTGCTGCCCATTACATTACAAACCACAGCAGAGGGACAATTCTCCAGCAGGATAGCGCTCCTTCTCATACTCCAGCCTCCACATCAAAGATCCTGAAAGCAAAGCTGCTCCAGGATTGGCCAGCCCAGTCACCAGACATCAACATTATTGAGCTGATGATGGAGGAGGAGGCGTTAAAGATGAACAAAAAGGGTCTTGATGAGCTCTGGGAGTCCTGCAGGAACACTTTCTTCTTCATTCCAGATGACTTTATTAGTCAGTGATTTGAGTCATGTCAGAGATGTATGGATGCAGTCCTCCAAGCTCATGATGGAGTCAGACACAATATTCATTCTGTCTCCACTGCAGCAGGACTTTATATTCTATACTGGACATTATTTCTGTTCAGTGACGAGACTTTAGTCTGAGCAGAGTCAGACCGCACTGTCCTTATGTCATTAATAATAATCAAGACATGATCAGATTTTATTTTGCGCAAATCAGCATCATCTAGCCTTCGCCTTTCATATAAGCCGCTTCTGATACCAAATCATCAACTTGAAGCCAAGTCATTCCTAAAACTTGCATAGGCCACAAAACTTTTGTCGGGTAGTGTAAAGAGGAATTACCAACCTACGTCACACATGATGTCACACGGGTTCCCAGTTGCAAACACAGACCGGACGCAATAGTAAACATGTCGTGTCGTGTTGTAGGATGCCAAATTTGAGTCCAAAAAAGAAAACGTAGCATTTACCGTACACCACACTGCTTTAATGCCAACTGCAGACATATTTAGCTATAAGGGAGCTGAATGGAGTGAGGACCTAATTAGAAATACTGGACTCTGCAGTTCTCATGTTATATCAGGAGAGTTCACGCTATGCTGAATCAGACACGTCACTCATGTTTGATTGCAGCAATGATTTCAGCAAGAACAGTTAAATATGGCGAATTGAACTGCGCACACTGAATGCTCAGAATGAAATGTGTGTTCACATACCCTGCTGTACAGGTGTAGTGCGCTGTGAGAATTCAGTAGTTCTGCTTGTTGATGATTATCCAGGCCTTGTACAGCTCCGTCTTCTTTCCTTGTCTTTGGCTGGGCAGAACCTCAGTTTTCAGCTCTACATAGTGTTGAATCTGGTCATCATGGAGCATTATTTCCTGCTCAGAGCAAAACTGTCGGCATCCAAAGACTTGTGTGTCTTTAACTTCTCTCTTGTAAAACACTTGGAGTTTTAGTGAGATAGTTGTATATTTGGGGCTGGATGCTTGGTCATTTGGTCTTGTCCAATATCCATTAGGAGGGTGCTATCGCAGATGAGCCTGTCAGATGAACGCTGCTCACTTTAACCTTAATTTTGCTGAATAACTGTGTTTATCACTGGGTGACGAGCTGCTCTAATACGCTGAAAGCATTATGTCAATAATATGTCATCAATATAACTTCTCTAACACAACAGCAAACTCTGTACCGCATCAGATTTCCTGTAACCTCGATGATCGTGCATCCTGAATGTTCACACACATGGTAATTTGTCTAAATGAGCTGCTGTTTAGAGTAATGCATTCAATGTTAAGTTTCTCCCCAAAAAAGTAACCAGTTGTGTTACTCTGTATGGTGAGTATTGCGTTACATTGTTGTTGAGTTTCCTTTGCATTACTTTATCTTATCTGGGTGTTTTACCATAGCTTCCCAACTCTTACCTGAGGACTGGTGAAGAGGTCATGGATATTTTGTTTTGTTTGTTTGTCTGTGTGTGAGAATATGTGCACATGTTTATAAGTGTGTTTGCACAACATTGTGTGTGTGTGTGTGTGTGTGTGTGAGAGAGAGTGTTTGTGTGTGTTTGTGTGTGTGTGTGTGTATGTGGTGTGGTGTGTGTGTGTGTGTGTGTGCGCCCGCGCAGGTGGGTGTGTGTGTGTGTGTGAGAGAAAGTGTGTGTGTGTGTGTGTGTGTGTGTGTGTGTGTGTGTGTGTGTGTGTGTGTGTGTGTGTGTGTGTGCGGGCGGGCGGGCGGGCGGGTGTGTGTGTGTGCGTGCGTGCGTGTGTGCGGGCAGGCGTGTGTGTGTGTGTGCGTGTGTGTGTGTGTGCGTGTGTCTGTGTGTGCGTGTGCATGCATCAATTAGTGAATGAAATAGCTTGTATGTGTGTGTGTTTGTG